TGCCTGTATTTTATTGAGGATTTTTGCATCTATGTTCATCATGGATATTGGCCTGAAGTTTTCTTTTTTAATTGTGTCTCTGCCAGGTTTTGGTATCAGGATGATGTTGGTCTCATAAAATGATTTGGGAAGGATTCCCTCTTTTTGGATTGTTTGGAATAGTTTCAGAAGGAGTGGTACCAGCTCCTCTTTGTATGTCTGGTAGAATTTCAGCTGTGAACCAATCTGGACCTGGGCTTTTTTTGGTTGGTAGGCTATTAATTGCTGCCTCAACTTCAGCCCTTGTTATTGGTCTCTTCAGGGTTTTGACTTCTTCCTAGTTTAGGCTTGCGATGGTGCAAGTGCCTGGGAATTTATCCAGTTCTTCCAGGTTTACTGATTTATGTGCGTAGAGTTGTTTGTAGTAATCTCTGATGGTAGTTTGTATTTCTGTGGAATCTGTGGTGACATCCCCATTATCATTTTTTATTGCATCTATTTGATTTTTTCTCTTTTCTCTGTCTAGCAGTCTATTTTGTTGATCTTTTTCAAAAAACCAGCTCCTGGATTTATTGATTTTTTTTTTTTTTTTTTTGAGACGGAGTTTCGCTCTTGTTACCCAGGCTGGAGTGCAATGGCGCGATCTCGGCTCACTGCAACCTCCGCCTCCTGGGTTCAGGCAATTCTCCTGCCTCAGCCTCCTGAGTAGCTGGGATTACAGCACACGCCGCCATGCCCAGCTAATTTTTTGTATTTTTAGTAGAGACGGGGTTTCACCATGTTGACCAGGATGGTCTCGATCTCTTGACCTCATGATCCACCTGCCTCGGCCTCCCAAAGTGCTGGGATTACAGGCTTGAGCCAACACGCCCGGCCTGGATTTATTGATTTTTTTGAAGGGTTTTTTTTGTGTGTGTGTGTGTGTGTGTGTCTCTATCTCCTTCAGTTCTGCTCTGATCTTAGTTATTTCTTGTCTTCTGGTAGCTTTTGAGTTTTTTTGATCTTGCTCCTCTAGCTCTCAATTTTGATGATAAGGTGTCATTTTTAGATTTTCCCTTGCTTCTCATGTGGACATTTGTTGCTATAAATTTTCCTCTAGACTCTGCTTTAAATGTGTCACAGAGATTCTGGTATGTTGTGTCTTCATTCTCGTTGGTTTCAAAGAACATCTTTATTTCTGCTTTCATTTCATTGTTTATCCAGTCAACATTCAAGAGCCAGTTGTTCAGTTTCCATGAAGTCGTGCGGATCTGAGTTAGTTTCTGAATCCTGAGTTCTGATTTGATTGCACTGTGGTCTGAGAGACTGTTATGATTTCCATTCTTTTGCATTTGCTGAGGAGTGATTTATTTCCAATTATGTGGTCAGTTTTAAAGTAGGCGTGATGTGGTGCTGAGAAGAATGTATATTCTGTGGATTTGGGGTGGAGAGTTCTGTAGATGTCTATTAGCTTTGCTTGGTCCAGGTCTGAGTTCAAGTCCTAGATATCCTTGTTAATTTTCTGTCTTGTTGATCTGTCTAACATTGACAGTGGAGTGTTAAAGTCTCCCACTGTTATTGTGTGGGAGTCCAAGTCTCTTTGTAGGTCGTTAAGAACTTGCTTTATGTATCTGGGTGCTCCTGTATTGGGTGCATATATATTAGGATTGTTAGCTCTTCATGATGCATTGATCCTTCTACCATTATGTAAGGCCCTTCTTTGTCTCTTTTGATCTTTGTTGGCTTAAAGTCTATTTTATCAGAGACTAGGATTGCAACTCCTGCTTTTTTTGCTATTTGCTTGGTAAATCATCCTCCATCTCTTTATTTTGAGCCTATGTGTCCTTGCATGTGAGATTGGTTTCCTGGATACAGCACACCAATGGGTTTTGACTTTTTATCCAATTTGCCAGTCTGTGTCTTTTGATTGGGGCATTTAGCCCATTTACATTTAAGGTTAATATTGTTTTGATTGAATTTGATCCTGCCATTTTGACGCTAGCTGGTTGTTTTGTCCATTAGTTGATGCAATTTCTTCATTGTGTTGATGCTTTTTGCACCATTTGGTATGTTTTTGGAGTGGCTGGTATTGGTTGTTCCTTTCTATGTTTAGTGCTTCTACCCAGCTTGGATGTTTACATAATTGTTTATCCTCAAATACAATCAATCAGCTGAATAAATCTAAATATTAGTACCTTTTCATTATTTTTACTTGGTTAAACAACAACACCTTTTGTTCTGCAGAGTTAGGTCTTTGATGGAATGTTTTCTTTTATGTCTTTTTGGTTACTGGCATTTATTACTCTTCTTCCAGAAAACCCATTTTTCTTAAGTTTTCTTTTTGTCATCCCTCCATATTTATCATACTCCCCTTTGACCCTTCCCCCACCCCTTATTCTTATTTTCTATCTGCTGAGTTAGCTTTTTAGGGTATATCTGATCTGATTTTCCACAATGTTAGTTCTACTTTTTATCACTTCTAATACATCATTTGTTTTGCTGCTGCATTTTCCACTTCCTTATATAGCCTATTCCTTATTTTGCCAGCTTCATTTTAATTTCTACTTGTGTCAGCCTTTTCTCTTTTTATATTACATTGTTTTGTCTTTCATCTCTTTCAGAAGCTGTTTACTCTTATAAAATATGCAAAGCAATTGACTAAAGTTGCCTTCCATGTCTCCTATTGCTTGTGCTTTCTAATTCTCAAGTGCTATGTTATGTTTCTGTTTTACATAATATTTTTATGGCATCTGTATTTGCTGTTCCTCTTTTACTTACCCTTGAACAAGTATATGTCTATACAGTCTGGGATGCTTAACTATAAATTGGATTGTGGCTTCTGTTTCTTTTCAGTAGAAGTTCTGATACATATCCCCACAGCATATTTCTAGGGGGTTTGGCTAAAATGACTCTGCTAGTCTAAGTTGGGGTTGCCTAATTTTGCTGCCTGTCTTATTTAGATTATTAGATAATCTAGCCCAGAAAGATCTGTTCCCCTCAACTCTTGATAACTAAGTCTTTGTAGTGCTGATTTTACATCTCCAGATATAGACTGCCACTCCTTAGGCATTTCCACCTCCATTTAAGTTACATTGATGAGAATTTTAGACCGAAATTGGAGGTAGAAGGCACAAGTTTTAGGTCAGATGGACCCAGTGAGTGGAGCGATTGAACCCTCGCGCAGCAAGGGAGCAGTTTTCCTCTAAATCTGGTCCCTGAAAATTCTCTTTCTTCTGGAGAGTTTAAGAAAATCTCTCAAAATTGTCCACTGTGGCTTTGATATTTTGCCTCACATTACTTCCACTTTTTGTAGAGAATATTAAGTTCCTTTTGTAATTTAGTAGATCATTGGGAAGGTGGTGTGAAAGGTCTGATAAGGTGTTCTAGTTTTTAATCTCAGCAAACCTATAATGCTATCTGGCTTGTTTCAAGTGCTCGGCATCAATTTGTTTAATGAGTGAGTAAATGATTTAGTCTTTTTTGAGAATTTTAGAAGAACCAACCATACTTAACTATTTATTATTTTAATACTTTTTTCCCAGTAGTTTCCTAGTTAGGTGTCTTACAAAATATATTCTGGGAGTACCAGATACATCCTAGGAGTACCATAAAATGTTCTGTGAAAAAAGGATTCCACAGGCAAATAATTTTTGGAAATGCTACATACTAAATTTTTCTTTCAGAAGTTTAATTAGTATGCAAATGTACTAAGGGCCCCAAGAAGACCTAAACTAACAAACTGCTTAACTCAGTTTAATTCAGCAAAATGTTTCTCAAATTGATTTGATCACAGAAACCTACTAATATCTTTGAGAAATGCTGCTGTAATCTTTAAAGTACTGTATAGATTTTGTGAAAAATGTAGAGTTTATTGGAGAATATTTTTCATGAAATAAACTTTGTTTCTTCAGATATTCAGAGAGCTGTAAATTATGACTAAATATGATTAGAGTTTCCCAGGAACTGAGATTTTTTTTCTCATTTGATATTTTGAACAAGATAGGATCTCTATGACCTTTTAAAAATGTATGTTAGTTACTTCAGGCATTTGTGTCTTTAAGGAGATAAATCTTTTATTGGTACATCGAACTGAGAAAGCACATGCCACAACATGAAAACATTTCTCTGTTTACCCCGAACTCAGTAAAAGAGTTTGTCCCTACTCATGGTTTTAATATTGTTTGTTAATCTAGGAAATAAACCTATACCTGTGCAATTTTTCTATCAAATGGTATGATTGGGTGAAGTAGGAAGGTTGACTAATTTTATTTTCAGTTTCAGAATATTAAGTCCTTTGTTATATTCCCACTTTATTTGTCTTTAAAATAATATCTGATCAAAGCTCAGATGATCGTTTGCCTTCATCATGTAAGATTTAAATGTGCTTTACTAGTTCAACTGTTCACCGACTGGTTAAGAAACCTTCCTTCTTTTTTTGGTAACTAATGCTTCTGTACCTGCTTTACCACTCTTCTCTATCCTTATAGTTTGTTTTACCTTCACATGTTTTTCTTAATTAGTAGTTTAGTTTTGGTTTGCTTTTTAAGTTTAGAGTTAGATTTGTACCAAGTTAGTTAGGGGATCTTTTTTTAATGAAAAGTTTTGTTTTAGAAGCTTCTTTTTGGTGGTGGTGTTGGGGAGGGGTAGGTGAAAGGAGGTAACAGTAAATAAAGCCCACCAAGTTTTCAGCTGGACAGATTTTCCCTACTAAATCTGAAAGAGCCACAGGTTTGTGGTGAGTTTGTCTAGCAAGTTGTAAGTTCTAGTTCCTGAATTTTCCCTACCCAAAAGTGTCATGTTTCCATACTTCCTTCTGAAAAAGACCACAATCTGCAGACCTCCTTCTTAAATCCAATCATCCCCAATACTTTCATGTTTCAGAATTAAAAATGATTTCTAAAAATGTTATCTAACCATTGTATTACTAAAGCACTATGACCAAAAAATGTTATTTCCAAGAATTGACAAAGAAAATTTAAATAAAAGATACTTGAGCATTAATATGTAATAAATGAAATTCTAACTGTTTTTATCTTCAACAGACAAGCAACAGAAAGGTGAATTCGCAATAGATGGCTACAGTGTCAGAATGAATAACACTCTAAGAAAGGATGGGAAGAAAGATTGCTGTTTTGAAATCTCTGCTCCTGATAAACGTATATATCAGGTTGTAGTTTTTATGTTGCCTGGAAATTAAGTTGATAAAATGTTTTGATTAATACTTTCCCTGACATGTTAACAGTAATAAAAATACTGGTGTTTAAATACATTATGAAGTGAATAGTCTAAGAGTATTTTTTTTTAATTTCAGATTAGTTCAAACATTATCTTCTTGAAAATGATAAAGAGAATATATAATCTATCAATTACTTCACGTGTTGCATTTATATCTAATATAACTATGTGATCTTCTAAAAGAAATATATGCAGAAAAAGTAAAATTATCAAAAGAAAAATACCAGAGTGATAATACATATTGTATTGCTAGGAGTGTGGGAGAAAATGAAGGTAAAGGTATATATCAGCTCTGTAATTCAAGAGCTATCAGCTAGGCATCAATGTGGAATGTATGTTTAATAAGTTTTAAATATCTGAGATTGCAGTTGAAAGCCAGTTAATTAAGTTGTCAGGTAGTGTGTTGGAGTCTGACAAGAACATTTTTAAGAAAACTGTATCCAGCAGTCTAAAGAAATTCATGGGTGTCTTCTAATTGTCAAGGGCAAATTTTGTTCATCAGTTCTGTCTTTGACATTGATGAAGAGAAGCAGCTTTTTTTCCTGCACAGCTGCCAGCTGCTGATCAAAGTTTCAAATTCATCATCTTCTGCTTCAATTACACAAATTTGTCAAAATTAACTGTACATTATAAGAAGCATCCTTGCAAGAAAAGTTCCCATAGACATGAAAAGAATTACTAATAGTCTTAAGGAAATGCTAAGAATCAACATACCTTTCATTTCTACTGTGGTGATTTTCATTTTTATTGTTCCTTTTTTATTAGTTTACAGCCGCTTCTCCCAAAGATGCCGAGGAATGGGTACAGCAGCTGAAATTTGTATTGCAAGGTAAGAGAAATCAATTGAACAAGTTATCACAGTCTTTAAATACTAAATAACTGAGTAGTTTGGGTTTTCATATACAAAAGCTTACTGACTTCTATGAGAATGACCACATGAATATGACTGCTGTTAATACAGACACACTCACTTCAGATTTCAAAAAGCTACCAATTGGCTTACTTTAAAATTCACATATTTACAAAACAATTTTTAAACATGTTTTTAGTTAAGGACATAACACATAGCAATATTGTTGTAGGGCTGCATTTATTTATGAATTACAATTTTAAAAATATCTTCTGCATTCTTTTAATTTACTTCATGAAATGTATTTTATAGATATGGAATCTGATATTATTCCTGAGGATTATGATGAGAGAGGAGACTTATATGATGATGTTGATCATCCTCTACCAATAAACAATCCACCAACAAGCAGTCAACCAATAGATGATGAAATTTATGAAGAACTTCCAGGTATTTACTTTCTGGTGATTCATTTAAAGATTTTAGGGGGGTGTGTGTGTGTGATTTGTCCTCAGATTGACAATTTGAGTAGAAAATGGTGAGCTATTGAGAACAAGGACAAAGAATATCTTCAAAACTATTTTACAAAAGGGGTTCTGCTTGAGATATTTCAAGTGAGTAGATGTAACTTATGAAAAGCAAATAAAACATTAAAATGAAGCAGATACAATCCTAATCTCTTGGGACTTTTGGCTCATTAGCATTGTTTATGCTACGTAATTTTTTAATTAAAAAATTGACTTGCCTTACAGTTTTTTCCACCAACTCACACATCATTTTTTATTATACATCTTGGAACTTCCATTAACCAGAAGTTCTATGCACACCCCATATGTCATCAACTTCTGCCTCGTATTTCTCCTCATTTATAGTATATTGCATTGTCTTAGAGGAAAGTTGTTGAACTATAAACCAAGGCCTTCTGAGGCTTCATGTTTTCCTGTTGCTATTTTAGCATCAATATGAAATATAAAAGTTTTCTTACTCCAAATACCCAGGCCTAGTTTAGTGTTTACATGCCTTAGTGTCTGTTACATAACATAAAATTAATTATCTATTAGCTACTTGTGGTCATAAGGATCAATCTAAAATAAAAAGATAGACATCTGAAATTTAAGAAACATGTGAAAACATTCAGGAAATTGTTATATTACTAATACTCTAGGTTGTAATCGGCTTTTCTGGCTATTAAAAAATCAGTAGTTAGAGAGGAAAAAGGTATGATAAGCAGTATATGCAAGATTGAACTAGTTCATCTCATGTAGAGAAGCCATTTTTCTCTGAATAGAACAATTTAATGATACAATGTAAACCTTTAAAATTGATTTCAAAAATACTTAAAATGTTCCAAATTAACATACAAATGTCAGTTTCAGTACTATAAAGCATAATAACAACAGTATGGACATTAGAGTAAAAAAATTTAAATTCTGGCTGTGCCATAACTGACTTTATAAGTTAATTTCTTCATTTGTAAAATGGAAATAATATTATTGGGAAGGGTAGGTGAAGTGATTTATTGAAGGCTCTCAGCACAGTGCTTGATCATAGCAAGCCCACGATTAATTGTAACATCACTGTCATTTTTGTTTTTATTACTGTACCTGGTGAATTCTTGCAAGTACTTATGTGGTGGTACAATAATGGTTTTCTAGCCAAGTAAAAATAATTTTAACAGTATTATAAACCTAAGATATAAAAACTATGTATACATCTACATACCGTCTTTTACTACCCCAGAAGATTAGTATAAAAGTGTAATTTTATGAGGAATAGTCATCTGTGTATTTCAGTTATTTAGTGGAACTACATGTTTATTAAGCCCTTCCTTTCTGGTTTGCCCTACGGAAATGACATCTGCTGTAGCATCAGTTATCCTCAAGTAGGGAAGAATATTCCCTGCCTGCTTGTTTTTAGTCATACCATATCATTAATACAATTATTTTAGTCTTTAAGATGTTTAAAAGAACTTGTGAGAATGTATACTCATAAAATGGAAGCATGGAGTACCTTTAAACATGCTATTACTATCATTATATCCTTTTAAAACCCTGTAATAAATGTGTTACATTATAATTGTTGAATTAACTGTTAAAGTTTTTTATTTTTTTTCAACTTGGCTATTCTCTCCCCACCCCTAAAGAAAAAACAAATTGATCAGGAATAAAGACCAAATATTCATAGTTATTTTCATAACCAAGACCTAAGAAAGATCTGCTATAAGTAGCTTGAAATTTTAAAAATATGAAACATCTTTTATTTTCTCTTAATCCAGATATTTTTCTTCACTATATCCCCCCTACCCTCCACATAATTGTTGGAAGTAACTGGTTACTTTTTAAGTAGTGTTACTTCTTGCTGTGGTACTGGGAGAAATTTAAGCTGTTCTGGGATTTCTTTGCCCCTGCTTGGGATCCCCAGTTGCTGTGCAAAGTGATTGAGCTTGATAGAGTCTGCAGCTGTGCCCCTGGGAAGCAAAACTGTTGTAGGCAGCTGTGGAATGTCTAGTTCTTCTGTCTTCCCCAGTGTAACTGAGAGCTGCTTCCACATCTGCACAGTTCAGCAAGTTTGTCAAGCTTGTGCCAGCAGCTACAGAAGGGATTTTTCTAGCAAAGGCCCTAAAGGTGTCTCAGAGTTAGAGGTTTTGTTTGATTAAATACCTAAAACTAGGAAGGTAACTTTTTTAATTTAAAAAATTGTCTCCCAGGACAAGAATTAAGCGTATTGCTTTCACTTTTGTGAAATTTGAGTATAATTTTGATAGAAGAGTTAGAACAATGGAAAAGTAGTAAGTACATTTACATACTGTTGATATTTTTCCAGTTCTGTACAAAGAACTATGTATTTCTGATATCTGACTGGATAAATTCCCAGAATTAAATAATACTACAATTTCAACACAATTTTCTGTCAATTACGCATTGCTGAAAACAAATCCTCTTAGTTGAAAGATGAGGTATACAAATGTATCTGAAGAAAAATCTAAGCATTTAGCATGCTACTTTAAATCACAAAGCTCTTTTGAGAAAGTTCTTACTTTAATGTGTATTTTTTAAAAAAACTATGAAATAAACCTGCAGTGTTTTCATTTTCAAGAAGAAGAAAACATTGTGTTAAAAATTGCATTGGGCTGGGCACAGTGGCTTATGCCTGTAATCCTAGCACTTTGGGAGGTTGAGGTGGGTGGATCACTTGAGGTCAGGAGTTCGAAACCAGCCTGGACAACATGGTAAAACCCCATCTCTACTAAAAATACAAAAAATATTAGCTGGGCATGGTGGTGGGTGCCTGTAATCTCAGCTACTCAGGGGACTGAGGCAGGAGAATCACTTCAACCCAGGAGGCAGAAGTTGCAGTGAGCCAAGATCAAGCCACTGTACTCCAGCCTGGGCAACCGAGTGAGACTCTGTCTCCAAAAAAAAAAAAAAAATTACATTGCAAAATATCACTTGAAACATGTTTATATTTCAACAGGAATCTAAATTGTTTCATTTTAATTGTTTTTCAGTTAGAATATTCAAACTTTATTACAGTACCTTCTCTTTAATTTTTTGTTCATTTATTTTTAACTAACTTCGTAAAAGAATACTAATACATTTGTAAGACTTCTTTGTATTTAGGGGATATATACATACGTACAAGACTTGTGAGAATGCCATTTCTGAGGAGTATTGAAAGTATTTGGCTTTTCTTCAAATATCCTAATGGTTTTACATCTTTTATATCTTAATGTTTATTAGCATAGGCCAGTCACGTTTACTTACATTGTAATAATATTATAGCATCTTTGTGTTTGTATAGCTAATGTATTGATCAAAGTGTGTTAAACTGTTTCATAACATGGTAATGAATTCATTTGGCTTAGCACAGATTTGTAAATTTATTGCTAACTTTTTCATTAGAGATACAGAGGAGTGTCTGTCTCATTTTGAATCTCAAAAGGGGAAAATAATACTTGGGAAATTGCTGCAGAAACCAACCCTCTTTGCTTTTCCCTTCTACTCACCATGTCACTTGGTTTGTTTTCTTTAGTGGCAGCAAGTTGTGCAGAAACAACAACAAAAAGATTTTTCTAGATCTAAACTGAATAGAATCTAGCCTAGTAACAAAAACGGTAGCCATCCATTAACCTATTACATCTGTAGCTTTCAGAGGAATTGCACTTGAAATGTCTTCTGGCAAGTGGAGTGGAGGAGAGAGGGCAACATAAAACAGGAAGATAAATTTCTATTCCATTAACCTATATTTTTAAGTGTGAATTCATTTTTTTTTAAATTACAATGACAGATTGAACTATTCTGAGTCAGAAAAGGATATTTTTATCCTTTGGCTCTTCAATTACATTTTAAATTTATTCAGTCCAACTATCTGCATCTGAAATGGAACATAAAGTAAAATGCAGCTATAAATTTTTTTCCATGAGACTACTATATATATATATATATATATGAACGGTGTTTGGGTACTTTAATTTGAAGCAGTTTACAGCAAATGGACACAAATGGTAATTTAATCAATAAGTGGTTATAGGCTCCCAAAATACATTTTGGCTTTATTTTTCTCCTGAATAATTATCACTCATACTATTAAGTCAATATCAAGGTCACAGGGGGCCCTGCAGTCTCTGGCATTAACATTGTTTTAAGTGATTGATAGTAGATCCTAACTTTACCAATTTTTCGGCTTTCTTCTTTGGAATGCAATGGAAAGATGTCAGTTAACTTTCACAGAACCACATATATTCAGTATTTTAATATCATTAGTCTAGGCAGCCCCCTAACATTTTTTCTTAAACTATGATGCTGAATTGCAAAGTTATCAATGTGGTGATATTGTGGGAATATTTTTTCCCAAGTAGCTAAGGATGCTGCTAAACAACCTACAATGCACAGGGCAGCCCCCATAGCAAATAATTATCTAGCCCAAAATGCCAGTAGTGCTGAGGTTGTGAAACCCTGGCCACAGGGATCTAATAGACAACTTTTGGTTTATCACCTTTTTATTCATATCTCTTGAATTATAAAGATTCATAACCTACACTCCATATGAGTTAATTCACTTTTATGGATACAATATAGGTTTTCTTACATACATTAAACTAGGATTACATAGAATGTTTCTAGGTTAAGAGATGAGCTAGACTTGCCTGTCATGTTTCCTTCAAGGAGTAGTATTGAAGTTCTGTCCATCTTGTGGAAATAAGCAAGCCAGGAAGATAGAAAAGGAAGGAAGCATTTTCTCTATTTTCATGAGCTACTATCTTGGAAGGAAGAGGTTTCTAAAAAATACCTTGTAGATGTGCAAATACTTGATTTATCCTGTTCTGATAAGGTGGTTCTTTTTGAGGCTAAAGGAAAAGACCTGTGGGTGTGGGATTGGACCTTCTGTAAAGGGAATCAGGCATCCTGAGGTAATTCAAGGCTAAGCAATTCCAGGACTGTCTGGAATTT